CCCCGCCTCCGGCGGGGTTCGGGTTTGCCCGCCCCGCCCTCACCCCCACTCCTATTTTTTTTCTTTTTTTTTAAAATAAATATGAACAAATTAAAAAAAAAAAGAAAGTAAAATAATATAAATTTTTACATATAAATATTTCTAATTTTAGTTTATATATATATAAAAATAATTTTTTAGTTATATTATTAAGTGGGGCGGGGGCAGGGGCAGAGTGGGTATTAACCTCCCCGTCCCCGCTCCCGATTTTATCAATTGGGAGAAAACCCGAACTCGAACCTGATAAACACGGGTTTTTCCATCCAAATCGGGACAGGTTCGAGCGGGTACCCACGGGAGCGGGTTCGATTGCCATGCCTAGATCCAATGCAATACACGAACCCGTGTAATCTTTTCTTTAAGGAACATATAGCTCATCCTAAGAGACATTTAGGTCCATTAGGTTCAAAGGAGGTGAGGGGATATAAATTTTGTTTTTAGTTGAAAGAAGGGGAGAGGAGAGGAGAGGAGGTAGCTTTTTCTTATTTGGTTTCTAAGAAAATGGGACAAAATTTAAAAATCAATTTACTTATTTATCCTTATTTTTAAATTTAATAACGCAAATAAGGATATTTTGGATATTATATTTAAAATGTTTTAAAATTTCCTCCTGCCCTCCAAATCTCCTCCTATATTGGAGGGGAGCTAAAATTGGGTTAGAAGAAATTTTGACCCCATCCCTCCAAAAAATTGAACAAACAAGAAAAGATTTTAAAAGTTTCTCCCTTACCCTCCCTTCCAACCAAACCCTGTTAAACACTAGATATCTTTGACAATCATATAATCAAGTTTAATAAACAGTACAAGTAGAAAAGGTTCTCTTACAACTTTGATTTGTTGCTGCTGCAGGAAGAGCAGGGATGTTGACAGCTGCAGTTCCAATAAGGTAGAATTATCAGAAGTTTACGAAAAAATTAACATCTTACACAATGAATAGCAACAAAAATAAATAATTAAATAAAGATCAGTTTGCCACTCATAATTATATAAACATTCAAATGGGTGATGTACGTACATTTATTGCATGATGAAGAGGCCAGTTGAGATGTAGAAGGCCAGGGAGCTGGAATATTATCATTTAGATCACAAAGGAAGCTGATCCCAGAAATCCTGTCAAATGTAGCATCTGAAGGCAAACTAGGTAATAGACAACCGGCCTCTGTTTAGGGTAGACAATATAACAAGTCACCTCCCAGTAGAACATCAATTCAAGACGGAAAATAACGTAGCAAGTCGTGTCTCAGCAGACAATTATTACAAGAGCATAAAAAAAAAAAAAAAAAAGACTTCAATGATGGATAAACAATGCATTTCCAAAAGTTAACACTTTTTCTTAATTGAACCCCCTTCCCTTTCCGCCCATACCGTCCCCCAAATGTGGCATTGGCAAATAATTTATATTGACATTTGACACAATGTACATTGCAGAATTACCTTGATTTCCAACTGAAGTATCCACATTGTCAATTTCCGCACCAAGTTGAATGAGAGAAAAGAAAAAATATTAATATCAGGTATTAAGAATTATGGGTAAAGTGTGAGCTGAGCATACCAACAAGAGCAAAGAAACTAACCTTGGAGGGAGAAGTCTTTAAGGCTTATGTGACAAAGACCATAAACATCTGCAGTAATATTTGATCTTTTCAATTTCGTTGCCAAAGTTTCTGCACAGTCCAAAGCTTGCAAGTTCGTGATGAAGCTCTGCTTTTGCAAGTGAGACACATAGCTTTCCATAGCATTACAGCAGGCTGTTTTGTTACTCATCCCATCCGCACAACCCTTGGCAACTTGCTTCGTGTCAGGGAAAACCAGTGGACAAACTGGTGCAAAAGACACAGAATATGTAAAAGAAAGCCAATATTAAGCGGCCAGAAGATTAGCATCATTTAAAAGGAACCTAATGCAATCAGCTATAATCTCCTAGAATTATCACAGGATGACCATTGCACATTTGACTGATTTGAGTTTCCACAAGGTTTCTCATCTAGAGCTAGATAGAAAATAAATCATGATCGAAAAACACCCCAACTCAGAATCTACTCAACCTTTTCCCCTAAGGATTGATATACCATTTTACTGAAACTGACCTTTGTTCACGTTGCAATTAGACAGTCCTCTGAGAACTTTCTTGGCCTGAGAAGGTTCAAGTTTACTAGCTACCCACCGGAGAACAATATTTCTACAATCATTGACCCGAATTGAGTGCTCAGGTTGAACTTGTGGTGCATCTATGGCCAAAACATCAGAACCTTTTGATGCAATTGTTGTAGCTGCTTCTAATATAGCATTCTGACATACTTGGTAGCAGCATTCTTTCACTGGATCAATTTTCTTACAGGCAGTCAGGAGCTTAGTAGTATCCACCATGTCATAAAAATCATTCAGATTTTTTACCGGGCAAGATGCCTCAGTGAGTTTTGAAGAATTGATTGAACATATCTGCTTTAGGTTACTAGTGGCACCCTGGCCCATCAAAATCTGTTCCACATCTGCAAGGCAATGTTTAGCAACGGTCCCATTTAAGGCAAGTACATCAGAATATTTACTGGATTGACCAATAAGAATTGTGAGAGTGGCTTCCAGTTGGGGACAACATATTACATTAGCCAGAAATGGTGCAAAAACTTCCCAGCAATCAATTGCTGTCACACTTATCAAACTTTCTACGGTAGTAAAGTTCAGAGTGCAGAGTCCTGCAAGATACATGGATAGAGACAGTAAGAGAGCCGGGGAAAGAACATCCAAACTCAAGCATTTGAAAATCCAAAATAACCACAGAAGTCATTTAGGAAAGAACCTGATAATTTTGGTTCAGAGGTATTGGTAAATGGAGCCAATGGTGAAGGTGCAAGAGGAAGGAAGGGTTGTGGAGCACCAAGAGGTGAGATTTTGGGGAGCATAGAAGCCACATGGTTATTCAGTCGTACACGACCTTCTAAATAATCAAATCTACTGCTATGGGATTCAAGTACACCTGCACCAAAACACAAATAAGAGTGTATCTTTGCCTTTGTGTACACGTCTCTCCCTCTTGTCACTCACTTAGAATGAGTTCGCAAAGAAAGGAATCACATACAAGAAATTACAAAGATTATGCTGTGTTAAAAGAGTTACAAATAAAATCAGCCACAGTTCAAGCATTATGTTGTGCTAAAAAGTGTTACAAACAAAAGCAGCCATAGTTCAAGCATTGTGTTGTGTTAAAAGAGTTGCAAATAAAAACAGCCAACAATTGAAGCACGTGAATGCGAGCACATATCTTATGGTTAAAAGGTACTAGTACTACTTAAGCATGGAAAGGTAAGTCCAACTCAACATTAACGAATTCCGTTCCACTAGTAAAAGCTTCCAGATACCAATTTCATTTTGTTTCAACTCTCTGTGATATTACAACACAAAAGCAGTCAAATTTGTTCGACAGCGAGAAATGAAAGACTGTACTCATCAGCGAACACTACCATTACTAAAAAGACAACCTTGGAGTATAATTGAAATTGACAGCAGTAAACATATATCCCAGATCTTGGCAACGAAATGCGAAAGGTATTTGTTGTGTCCTACACTCTAAAATGGAATGGGGAAGGGGTGGTTTGTGAGGCATTGCAAAACTGAGTGTGGAAGCAATAGAGACATAGTAATAGCATCTAAGTTGAAACTGAAAGCAAAATTGAGGAGGTAAGTTATTTATTTATGGTGTGAAAGTAAAAGCGAAACGAGTGGAAAACCCTAAGGTGCGACATGGAAGTGAAAAGTGAGAAAGGGGACTTACGGAGGAAGAGAAAGAGGCGGAGGAGGAAGAGGAAGAGGTGGGGCATCGTGCAGAAAGGGAAAGCATTCATGGAAAAGAGCATTGGAGATGGAGAGGGCGAGGGAGAGGGAGAGGGTGGTTCAGTAATAGGTGTCCGGTGAGAGAGAGTAGACCCCACCATTAGCGCATTTACGCCACCCATTGCCTTTTATTACGACTAATTCACTTTTGCTCACCGGGGTTTCATGGCGCCAACTGTTGTGGCAGTTGGTAGATGGCCTCATTAATTGCAAACGGAACGGACCATTCATCATTCATTTCCAGATTATTCCTTCTGCTTTCTGCTTTCTGCTTTCTGCTTCGTTAATCGCCTTTTTTAAGTACGCCTTTTCCCATTTTATGTCACTAAATCACCTGCTTATGCTTCATCAACACCTTGCTTTTCAAACATCATAATTCACCTACCACTAACTTCCATACAATTATTGCAACCCTTACACAACCTATCTCATTTAATATCACAATCGCCTTATATAACTTTTTATTTTTAAGAATTTTACTTTTACTTCTTTTTTTAAAAATCTAATTCCAATTTTTAAGAATTGCAAACAGAATAAGAAGTGAAAATACATTCACACATTCTATTTAGAACATAACATTAATAGAGTATAACATTAATAATGTAGGTAGAATTCACTTGCGTACACACATACTCACACTCCTTTAATTTCACATATCATATATAAAATACTGTACCTAACAGACAGTGACAATCATAATTACATGAAATACAATGTTATCCTAACTCTACTCTATATAATAAGTCATACTAACTTTAACTCATAAAATAGTCTTTGAGCATATTATCTACCCATGATCAACAGCAAATGACTTTTTTTTAAAAAAGAAGGAAGTTATTTGTAGACTTTAAAAAAGGAAATTATTTGTAAGTAGGCAAAAAAAATTGAAGATGGATCCAACTAAATGAAAAGTATTAAAATTTTATACGATTGAATATTTTTCTAACTTGAATTTTTTTATATAGTAATTTCCTTAATTAAATTTAAATTTAAAGTAATGATAAGATGTATTATGTAAGCGTACATGTACATTATAGATTAACATATCACATTCAATTCTATGTTTACAATATAATTTTTCAAAAGAAATAAAAAGAATTTTAACTTTAGGTTTAGGGTAAAAAAGTAATTAAGAACACAAGACCTATTAAAAAGTTTTGAGGAAAGGACTTAGTGTCATAAAACAAAATACAAACATTAAATTTTAAAAACACGTTCATCATTAGTTCATTTAATTTAATTATAAATGTTTTCGATCCCACGAATTAACTTATTAATTAACATGCCAACTTCACAAGATAAACTGCAATTTAAAGTTGGATGTAGTGTTATTAAAGTCGGACCCAAAACCATGGTCAGTCCAGTCAATCATTTAGATCAAACATTCATTTAACCTACTAGATAACATCATCAAACTATGAATGAATTGTGATTTAACCAATGACTTGAGAAGAAAAAGAATTATTCAGATAAACTATGAAAACTACATACTTAACAAGAGTTGAAGACAAGTCTTTTGTAGAGAGGATGAATACACCGAATCAACATGTAACTTTGTCATGTATATGACAAAATTAATTTGATATTATATAATTAATATAAAATTATATATTTAATAATATATCGATTCATGTAGATGAATTAGTAATTCATTGATTTAATTAATAACCTATTGATCTAATGTCTTCATTGACTCAGTATAGTTTTAATAACACTGACTTGATATTTTTTTTATGTCCAATTGTTGATGAAACAATTAAAAAAATCATAGGAAAAAATTGTATAATAACATTTTATTATTTTAATTTTAATTTAAAAAATGTGTAAAATTGTACCTTTGGAATTATATTATTGATTTGGGAATAATTCTAAAATTTAATTTTTAAAGGTATGAAAAACACATACATGAAAAGAAAAAATAATAATAATCACGATGTCCTTTGCACAAACTGGTAGAATTTTGTTTTGAGGAAAAAATTACACACAGCAAGAAGATTAGAGCAAATAATAAAAACACACACTAAAGAAGTCAATGGAAATGAGAATTTAATGTAAATCAATCGATTAAAGAAGGTTAATTTTTTTTTATATATATAATTTTACTTATTTTATCTTTTAGTTCCTATTTTTTAAAATATATTTTTCTGATCTCTATAGTTATATTTTTTAATATTTTTTAGTCCTTATAATTTAAGATAATTTTTTTAGTCCTTATTATCGTAGATTTGTAATACTTTTATCTTTTATCGTTATTTTTTCTGTAACAATGTCTATTTTAGTTCTTTTTCAATCATTTTAGTCTCGACACTTGACATTACAAATAGGAATACAAAAGAGTTAAGATGTATTAAAAGACTTAATTCAGAGTAATTACAATAAATTAAATTCAACATCAAACACATAAAATTGAATTAATACGAATTCATATTTCTATCATATCAACACAAAAAAATAACGTAATTTTTTTTAACAACATAGATTGAAATGATTATAAAAATATAAATATATAGACTAAAAAGATATATTTTAAATGTAGAGACTAAATTTTTTTAAAAAATATAAATATAAAAACTAAAAAAAATCTACTTTAAATTATATGAATGAAAAGGTAAAATAGGTAAAACTCTAACAGGAAAAAAAAAGTGCATTAAATAAGAACTTTAATTTTCACAATTAAATTAATACGCACTGGAGGTTGGTGCTTCACAATTCACATTCAACCTATTTACATGCTGAGTTGTGTTGTGAATTCTCCCAACTAAGTGGGTACATATTTATTTTTCATCAGAGTGACATGGGGTATTTCAATGACATAGGATGCTTCAAATAAGGGATGAGGGGGTGTGCATTAGTTTTTGCTTTTAAGGAGTATTAATTATATATTTTTACATTAGGTGAGAGTTTACATAGTAAAATGGGTGTGGGAAAAGTAATCCTTTACATAATTCCAACTGGCCGCAATAGCTAGGCCCAACTTCTGACCATCCTTCAACTCGGCCTCAACAATCGACATCTGGACCTGTGGACATTAGATTTACATGGGCTACTGGAATTTCCAAATTCAAATTCATGACTTATTAACTCCTAAAACTCATTAATATTTCAAACTCAAAAATTCAAATCGAGCTCAAACACAACAAAAATTTAAAATGAAATTATATTTGATATTCCTTTTTTAAGTTATTTTTATTAAATAATTAGTTCAGTTCCTACCTATTACATATAGTTAATTTATTTTAAGTTTTTACCGACCGTTACTGTTATAATACAAAGTTTATTAAAATTAAGAGTGAAGACTAGTAATTAAAAACCAAGTGTTATGTGTTAGAAATTGGAAACGTTATAATCACTTTGATATATATATATATATATATATATATATATGTTATTTATTTATTTATTTATTAGTAATATATTTCTCAACTTTTATTTTTATGCAAGAATGAAATGATCAATTTTAACCTTTTAGTGGTGATGTCAATAATAAACTAATATGTTTAAACTTAAAAAATTGTATAAAAAAAAGTGTTTCTTAAAAAAATTATTTTTTAAAGAAATAGATAAAATTTGTTTCTTAATTAAAAAAATTGCTTATTTTTAAAAATAAGTTGTTTAAACACACTAAAAAAATGAAATTATTTTATTAAAAAAATTAAGAATAAAATTAAAAAAAAAGCCAAAAACATTAATGTCTATGATAATAATGATTACATCAAAAGTAATGACACAATGATAATAATCATAATAGTATTAATATAAGGCATGAAAACCAAATTTAATTAATGTATAATGAACTAAAAGCATAATTGATTTTCATTTTTATGGTAACAGAATTAATACTATTATGAAAATCAATATTTCAGTTCAATAAGATTGCATGTTTATTCCCTCTTGTAGTCAATCATATTTCAGTTCAATGATTAGTCAGCATAAATAACCAAGGAGTTGCTAGATCTTTTGTAGTGCATATAGATTCATTCAACTAGTAATTAATCAGGAGTGCCATGTCAATTTTACATCAACAATATCCAGAAATCATTCATCGATCGTACAGTTGTGATGAAAAATAAATTAGAAATAAAAGAAAATAAAACAAAAGCAAAAGGACAAATGCTATCGACCTTCGAAGTGGAAACCGGAAATGAATGAATAACTACACCACGGGTGAAACGATGGAAAAGACAATCAGATTATATCTATTTATTCTGTACAGGTTTGTTCACGTCATGATTGATGAATGATGATACAGTACACGAAACTTCTTTGATTTGGTCTCTTAATTCCTCTAGTGTGATTGGAGTCAGTACGTATACATAAATTAAATAGCCAAATTGAAACCATATAATCATATATATATATACATATATACTGCATAATCTGTAATATAATAAAACAGTAACTTCCGTTTTTCTATCGAGTTTTACACAAGGAACTCACTAGTCTTCAGATTTCATTTGCAGAAATCACGAATATACAAATCACACATTCCCAGCCTTACAAGAGAATACAAGGTGAAAACAAATAAAAAAAATCCTGGGCAACTAACTAAGTTGGATATATTTTGTACAAGTAGAAACCTAAACCTTTCTCGAGTCTCAACCACTACACTACACACCCCACCACCACCTTTTGATATCATGAAATTAATTAATTAACCTCAGGTATGCTTTGTAGCACAGGCCTCCATGGCCTATGATGAGCATCGTGGTCTCTAGCGTGTACCAAACGAGCCAGAACCTGTTCTGCAGAAGCGTGTCCTTCACCTTGTTGCTTCTTCTCTTT